CAGAAGAATTTTGCCAAGGGTTGGAAATTTTTTTGAGATTTGCAAAAAATCAACCATTATTTCTCGAGGGTGGCAAACTTTTTTGTCCATGCTTCAAATGTGAGAATGGCAAACCTTTATTGCCGGAAGATACTGTCTCGAGACATTTATATAATAGGGGATTTATGCCTAATTATTGGGTTTGGATTTCTCATGGAGAAGATTATAATATTTTAAACAGTCATTCTGTTGAAGATTCTTTTGGATCTGAGTCTCACACTGAACCAGTGAATCCTTATGTGGCAATGATTTCTGATGCATTTGGTAGTACGGAGTCAGGATTTGATCAAAATATGGAAGAAGAACCTAATACTGAAGCAAAGAAGTTTTACGATTTTTTGGATGCTGCAAAACAACCGATTTATAATGGTTGTAAAGAAGGTCTTTCACAACTCTCTTTAGCAGTTCGACTCATGAATTTGAAGACAGATTATAATCTACCACATAATTGTATGGATGCGATTTGTCAGATGATGAAAGAATACTTGCCTGAAGATAATAAAGCAATGGAATCTTACTACGATTTAAAGAAGCTTATGCGGTCTTTGGGTATGCCGTATCAGAAAATTGATGTTTGTCAAGATAATTGCATGTTATTCTGGAAAGATGCTGCAAACGAAGAGAATTGTCGGTTTTGTAATAAAGATAGATTCCGTCCTACTCAAAGGCCTGTGCAAAAAAAAAATAGCATATCGTCAGATGTTTTATTTGCCAATTTCTGCTAGATTAAAGAGATTGTATCAGTCTGAGGCTACCGCAAAAGATATGAGATGGCATTCAGAACATTTGATGACTGGTGGAGAAATGTGTCATCCTTCTGACGGAGAATCATGGAAACATTTTCAAAAAGTATACCCTGACTTTGCATCTGAACCAAGAAATGTTTACCTTGGGTTATGCACAGATGGTTTTAGTCCATTTGGTATGTCAGGACATAACTATTCATTATGGCCCGTAATCTTGACTCCGTATAATCTACCACCAGAGGTGTGCATGAAACAAGAATTGATGTTTTTAATAATTCTGGTTCCTGGTCCAAATCATCCTAAGAGAAGTCTCGATATTTTTCTCCAACCACTGATAGAGGAGCTCAAAGATTTGTGGTATAACGGTGTTCAGGCATATGATATTTATGCAAAGCAGAACTTTCTCTTACGAGCTGTACTTATGTGGACAATAAGTGACTTTCCTGCTTATGCTATGCTTTCTGGGTGGACTACTCATGGTCGGTTGGCATGTCCTTATTGTTTGGACAAGACAAATGCATTTCAGTTAAAGAATGGTAGAAAAACAAGTTGGTTTGATTGTCATCGTTTTTTTTTTTGGGTGCTCACGTAGATGGTCTAACATAGCTGATATGTACTGTTCTTTATGACTTTCTCTTGTTTGGGTGCATATGTCGGCGTAATGTATTTATCGTAACTACAGAGCTTTGTTGTTTTCCTATATACTCATCGTATTAACCTATATAATTTTTTTCCTAGGTATCAGTTTATTTTTTCGGGATATCTGTGCAAGAACTTTGAACAAAGACAACATCGCAATATTACAACAGAACATTGCTTTAGTTCTTTGTAATTTGGAGAAAATATTGCCTCCATCATTTTTTGATGTCATGGAGCATTTACCAATTCATTTACCCTACGAAGCTCGATTAGGAGGACCTGTGCAATTTAGATGGATGTATCCGTTTGAACGATACATGGGCCATTTAAAGAAAAAAGTAAAAAATAAAGCAAAAGTAGAAGGCTCCATCGTCGAACAGTATATCAATGAAGAAATTTCTACATTTGGTAGTTATTATTTTGAACCACACATAAAGACAAAAAAACGATTAGGAGCTCGACACTATGATGGAGATGATCAGTGTACACACTCGTCTAGGGAAATACCTGAAATTTTTTCCCAGCGTGGAAGGTGCAGTGGTAAAGCAAAGGAATTTTGGCTACAAGATAAAGACTACCATATTGCACATACATATATTCTGCTGAATTGTGAAGAAATATTGTTAAAATCACTCGAAAGGTACGTGAAAGGCATGTTAGACTTTCTCATAAGCTAAATATAAAATACTTTTATGATTTTTATTTATTAATATTTATATGTAGGTTGTTCGATGAATTCTTAGTTGCTACTAATCCTGGCATAAGTGGAGATAATCTAATCTTGCTTAGAGAAAAAGAATTTGCAAGTTGGTTACAAAAACATGTAAGAAATCAATGGTTATTTTAAAGCTGTTTTTAATTTTGGTTTAAATTGCTTTATATAACAGTTTTCTTTTTCTTAATTCAACTAGGTGGAGAAAACTTGGGCTGATAATTTATACCCAAATTGGTTACGGTCACTTGCCCATGGTCCGATGATCAAAGTTACTAGTTGGCCTATGTATTTTTGCCGTGGATATATATTTCACACATACGACTATGGTAAAGACAAGAAAAATGCTAACTATGGAGTTTGTGTAAAAGGTGCATCATCTTCTGGTTTAGGTGACGAGCATGATTATTATGGAGTATTGAGAGAGATTTTAGAGCTTCAATATC